AGGGTCAGCGCTCAGGGACAGGTGGAGTGGGGAGTGGATGCCGGTGCTCAGGAGCCTGCCACACCCACCTGCAAAGTCCAAACCCAACACTTCACCAGCTATGGGATCCTTAGCAAGTCACTTCAGCCCTCTGAGCCTCAACTTCCCCATCTGTAAAATGAACATAAAAGCAATACCTACCACGTAGGTTTTGTTGTGCGGAGGGCCATCCCCCCAGATCCTTAGCTGAGCGCCGGAGACACAGGAGTTCCAGCTACCTGCTTTTTCAGGGAGGGAGTCAGGACGCTAACCTGTGTTGAGAACCTACTGTGTGCCAGGCACCTCGCATGTGTAATAGGCCACACGGAGTGGTGATCAAGAAGGAAGGGCTGGGCGTCAGGCCCTGGGCTGAATCCTGGGTCCCCTCCTTACCGACTGTGGAACCAGGACAACGCCCCTCGCCTCCCTGAACCTCAGCTTCCTTTTTCTTGTGATAGAGTCTCCCTCTTGGCCAGACTGGAGTGCAATGGCATGATCTCAGCTCCCTGCAACCTCCACCTCCCAGGTTCAAGCAATTCTTATGCCTCAGCCTCCTGAGTAGCTGGGATTATAAGTGCATGCCACCCCGCCCAGCTGATTTTTGTATTTTTAGTAAAGAGGGGTTTTGCCATATTGGCCAGGCTGGTTTTGAACTCCTGACCTCAGGTGATCCACTCCCCTCCCAAAGTGCTGGGATTCCAGGCGTGAGCCACTACACCCGGCCACCTCAGGTATCACCTTGTTCAGTCCTTGGGACTGCAGTGCAGTGGTGCCCTGTCTCAAAGAATACAATAATAAAACAACTGAACGGTACAGAACAAGGGTCCCCCATGTGCAGCATTGTCTCAAGGACGGAACGAGGTGATACCTGAAAGGTGTCCAGTCCAGTGACAGCGCAGAGCAGCTGCTCAGTAAGTGACAGCAGTTCCAACTGGTGACTGGATATGAAGACCTGGACGTGGGAATGAATGACTGCATACAGGCACTCGTGATGGACTGCCAGGGCGTGATACCTGTCAGCTCAATCACACGCCACAGGGCTGTGCATCTCGGGGCTCACCTCCCAGGTGGTCCTCCCTGGCGCTCCACCATCAGGGAAAAAGCAGAGAGCAAAGGGACCCCCCCAGACGGTGCCTCCCATCCATGCCGCCCCGCCCCCACCACCCCTACAGCAAGCACACAGCCACGCATGTCCCCCTCTGGCCCCGTGACCAACTGGCAGCCCCTCCCCTCCCTCCACTTTGCATCTGCTCAATTAGGGAAACTGGGGGCCGAGGAAAACAAAGACTGAATTTCTGAGCTAATCAGCCTGACTCACACTAATTACCGTCCTCCCGGGCATTAGGGCAGACTTTCTGGGGGAGGCTGAGGGGAAAGCTGGTCCCCAGGAATGATACCCGCTTCCCCTAAAGCCTGAGAGCCCAGCAATTGGGGGGGGGGCGGTGCAGGGTGACCGGGAAGCTCGAGCAGGTGACATTTCAGGGCGGGATGGAAGTGACGTGGTCAGAAGCAGGAGACAGAGTCCACTGGGCAAAGCAGGGAGGTGCCCATGGTCACACGGACGGCCCCACCTTCCCAGGGTTGCCGCCCCATCCTCCGGGCAGCCACGGGCTGGGGGGAGGCCCAGAACAGGTGCCCCAGTGGGCATGCAGCCCATGGCCGTGGCCAAGAGGACAGATGGACAATTTGAGGCTGGATAATTGAGCAATGATCGGAGGGAAGCTTCTGGATCATGGCCTACTGTGTGTGCATCTGTGTGTGTGTGTGTGTGTGTGTGTGTGTGTGTGTACATGAGCGCACAGAACAAGATGGCTTGGGACTGGGAGCCAGGAAGCCTGGGTTCAATTCCCTACTCAGGCTCTGGGAAAGTCCTTGCCCCTCTGAAATTCAGGCTTTACCGTAAGCGAGTTGGAGGGCATAATTTTTAGAAATCATTTCAGACGTGACCAAGGGGCCACCTCTTCTTCAACATAATGCTTATGGAGCCCCTACCATCACGCAGCCGGCTCCGTGCTGGCACCACAGGCACGTTCGTGAACAAGACAGGCCAGGTCCCCATCGTCACGGCGCTTTCTCTGTGGTGGGGGAGCCCGGGAGTAAACGCTGAAATCGGGAAACAAGAGCCTTAGCGTTGGCAGATAGAGGAAACTGCTCTGTAGAGACCTGGCCCATAGGATGTGGGCAAGCGAAGGGGCCACCGCAGGTAGCGTTTTCATGAAAAGCCATAAAAATGCTACCTGCGGTGCTCACGGCGGCATTTTTCCGAAAAGGCTTGGCCCAGAGCAGTGGCTCACGCCTGTAATCCCAGCACTTTGGGAGGCCGAGGCGGGCAGATCACGAGGTTGAGATAGAGACCGTCCTGGCCAAAAGGGTGAAACCCCATCTCCACTAAAAATACAAAACTTAGCTGGGCGTGGTGGTGAGTGCCTGTAGTCCCAGCTACTCAGGAGGCTGAGGCAGGAGAATCGCTTGAACCCAAGAGGCAGAGGTTGCAGTGAGCCTGGATCACGCCACTGCCCTCCAGCCTGGCGACCGAGCAAAACTCCGTCTGAAAAAAACCAAAAAACGAAAAAAGAAAAGGCCCTACCCAGCAATTAAACTGCAGATCATCCAAACTCACGGAGGGACTCAGAGCAACTCGCCTCCCTTCTCTGGACCTCTGTTTCACACACACAACAAGACAGAACTGGATAAGGCTGATTCTCACGAGTTTCTGCATGGCTGGTGCGTGAATGAGAATGTACGCGTGATCCCCAGGGGCTGCGGTATGGCCCGCACACTTATGCATACACACACAGGACCGCCGCAGCCCCAGTCCTGGGCCCAGCTGTATAGCAGGTAGACAGGTGTGTGCCTGATGATGAGAGGGGCGGAGCAGCACCTGCCCCGGGGCCCATCAGCTCCCAATCACAGGCTCTTCGGTCCGCACTCCATGGGACACACTCGGCTCCGCTGACACAGGTGTCCCTTGAACTGCCACCCTCACACCTGGTCATGGCGCCTTCACAGCTGCCCACCACATACTGAGCACCTGAGCCTCACTGCACGGAATTCTCACAACAGCCCTGCCAAGGAAGGGCTGTTACCCTGTTTTACAGATGGGGAAACTGAGGCTCAGCTAGGTCAAGTCACTTGCTCAGTAAATGATCAGCTAGGCACTCAAATCGGGCCTGATCCAAACTGCCACCCCTACCATGTGCCAGGACCTTTTCCGGGACCACTCTCAAGGCTCAAACCAGGGGACCAGGCTGGCCCAGCCCTGCCCAGTAACTGCCTTCCAGGGATTGCCAAGGGCACTCAACACAGCAAGGCAGTCAGGTTCAGATGGCCAGGTTCAAATCCTGATTTCATCACCGAGTCGCCGTGTGACTGTGGGTAGGACCCTTAACTTCTCTGTTCCTCGGTTTCCCCATATGTCAAGTAGGGATGGTGACAGTATCTATTTTGTTGGGTAGTTGTGAGAATTTTGCTAAGTTCTCTAAAGTTCTTCGAACAGAGCCTGGCACATGGTGTGATTTAGTGTTGTTGATAAAAGAAAGATATGACTCCCTTTGATTCTGTGAACGGCCTGACAATTGGGTCCCACAGAAGGTAAGAAGCAGAGCTGTAGGCCGGGCACGGTGGCTCAAGCCTGTAATCCCAGCACTTTGGGAGGCTGAGGCGGGTGGATCACGAGGTCAAGAGATCGACACCATCCTGGTCAACAAGGTGAAACCCCGTCTCTACTAAAAATACAAAAAATTAGCTGGGCATGGTGGCGCGTGCCTGTAATCCCAGCTACTCAGGAGGCTGAGGCAGGAGAATTGCCTGAACCCGGGAGGCGGAGGTTGCGGTGAGCCGAGATCGCGCCATTGCACTCCAGCCTGGGTAACAAGAGCGAAACTCCGTCTCAAAAAAAAAAAAAAAAAAAGAAAAAAAAAAGAAAGAAGCAGAGCTGCGATTCAAAGGCCGAACTCAGGACTCCCTGTCCAGTGCTCTCTCCCTACAGCATCGAGGTACCTTCAGTTTGTCCAAGGACTGGCCCAGGCTTAGGCTCAAGGAGGAAAGACAGTCAGTGAGGAAGTCTAAAGGGAGACAGGATGGGAGCCGCAGGCCAGGGCCGGATACTGCTCCAGTCGCCTCATCTCCCCACTCCGTGCCTGGCACTAGCCTACCGGCCCCACCCCCAGCTCCAGAAGGCCCCTCCTGTGGGCCCTCAAGGGCCCTGAAGCACCTCCCCGTAGCCCCGAGGAGCCCAAGCCCAGTGATCCTGGGACACAGCAGGTGGACAACAGCAGGGAACAGGGTGGCCTCCCAGCACCTGCTCCCGCCTTCCAAGTCCCGGAGTGCTCTGTCCCCAGAGACAGCCGGGTTCCCGGCCCTAGACCTTCACACCTACATTTCCCCAGGTCCCAGGGAGCCCACAGGCGGGAATCCCGGCCAGCTGCGGGCAAAGCCCAGACATCCACACTTAGCCTTGGAAGCAGACCCCCGAAAACCAGCCCACCCATGCCCCAGGGCAGCCTGCCGGGTCAGAGCGAGGGGCGAGGTTCTGAAGTCAGGCACTTCAGATCTGAAGTTGGTGAAAGTGGAAAAAGTGCAAACAGCCCAGGCACCCACCACAGGGAAATGTCCTTTCAAGGAAAGCCCATTCCAAGGCGGATTCGGACCCAGGTCCCGCTGCACCCCTGAGGAGGGTGCTCAGGGTGCAGTCAGGGGCCGCAGAGGGGTGCAGGACCAGCTATGAGGAGAATCCCTCCTGGGTAAGAACAGATGGTGTACATGTGTTTGTAGGTGCCAGGAAACACGGGCCAGCGCCAGCCTCTGGGGAAGAGGCCTTGGGAACAGGCAGTGGCCCGTTCCTTTCTGCCGTGCATGCTGAGAGCATGTGTCGGTTCCCCAAGCAGAAGGGGGTTTGTCTATTTGCACATCGTTCTACATGTACATGCTTCAAAAGCCAGCAAACGCACAAAGATCATCAGGGCGCACACGCACACACGCACCTGCCCATGCGTGCCCAGCTTCGGTCCAGCCGGCTCCCTCCTGCGGCCTGAGAGAGAGAGAGAGAGAGACAGGCGGCTGTCGCAAACAGATGGGGCAGGGCCAGAGAGACGGGTGAGCAGACAGAGACAGAGAGACAGGTAGAGAGACAGAAACAAAACACAGGAGCTCAGCCCCGGGGTGACCCTGCTCAGGGCAGCCGCTTCGGGCTGGTCCGGGGGCTGCGGGAAGTGGAAGTCCCCAAGAGGAAAGCCAGCAAACCCCGGCTCTGCCCTCAGCCTGGTCACTCGCTGTGGTGTGGCCCCGAGCCAGCGCCTCACCTCTCTGGGCTGCAGCCTGCCCACGAGTGCGGGCAGTGGCAGGGAGACCTGCTGGCTCCGACCCTCCAGCACTCCAGCGTCCTGGCTCCCCATCAAGCCCCCGCTTTCCGTCTCCCCAAATGGTCCTGAGGACAGCGTCCAGGTCAGCGGCCATCTCAGCCCAGCCAGGAACCCACTCTCAAAGCCCCTCCCGCTCCTGCCATCAGCCGCGGCACCAAATCGGAGAGGGGCAAGCTGGGCACTGACCGGAAACCGTGGGCATGGATACCCCTGTCTTCCCACCTCATCTCACCTAATCCCCATCACAGCCCACACCCCATTCTACCATACGGAGGAACCGAGGTTCGGAGGATGCTCAGGCCAGAGCCCCGAGGCCAGCAGGGGATGAATATGAATGAGCTGGGCTGGAACCCACGCATCTACTCCAAAGCCCATCGGCTCCTTCCTCGACATCCTGTTCCAGCAGGCAGGAGCAGGAGGGGCCACAGAGGCAGACACCCTCATATTTCCTGACCCAGCACCCAGGCCCGGGACTCCACAAGCCCCAGCCTGTCTCCAGCAGCCTCAAAGGTGACGATACAATGGCCCCTAAAGCCCTGCCTCCCTGCTCCGACCACCAGGAAAGCCAGCAGCAAGCCCAGGGCTGGCATTCCTGAACACTCCCTGCAGGCCAGGCGTGGCACCACGCGCCTCATAACGTCACCCTTGGGGGGTGGGTACTACTTTTATTCCCCAGGTGGGGACACAGAGGCACATATAGGTGGGGCAACTCGTCATGGGTAGAATCGGGAACCAACAGAGGGGCCCGAGGGCTTGATCACTGTGTCACCCTGTCCTGCAGCCAGGGAGCTTTCCTCCTCTGACCTGCCACCCCCAAGCCAAGGAGTGTCTCGTGGGACAGCAAAGGCCTCACCCCAGAAGCTCTGCTTAGGTCAACGGCCCTTGACCCACCACCAGTGGGCACCCTAGTGCCCACCCCTCTCTGTAGCCCGTCTCCTCCCAGGATGAGGCTTCGGGTCCTGGAAGGCCCCCACCTCCATCCTTGAGTCCCAGCCCAGGGTGAGGAGGGGAAGGGAAGAAGGTCTGTGTCTCCCCACAAACCTCCGGGACAGGGGCTGTCCTCTGCCTGAGCTCCAGAGAGAGAGTGGGGCAGGCGAGGCTCACACAGCAAGCGGGAGGCAGGAAGGGGCCCACAGCCCCTCATCTCTGCCGCCCAGAGGGCACCCTACCGCCTATGCTGGGTGGGTTGGGCTGTGACCCAGTGTGGAGACGAGGGTGGGGCTATGGGTTCTCAGTAGCTTCTAGAACTCCTCAGGCCCTACCATGCAGCCCCCGGCAACCCTGTGGGCCTACTATGTGCAGATAGTCCCATCTCCAACCCTATTTCCCTCCATCCCCTCCAGGAGCCTGGCAGTATCCCCATTTCACAGATAAGCAAACTGAGACCAGGGCATGTGACCACTCAGGCATGAGATCTAACTCACAATGCCTGCTTCCCACCACCAAACAGGGCTTCCTGCAGCCCCTGCCCCAGTCCAACCACTCCCAGTCCTCAGCGATCGCCTCTTCCAAAAAGAGTCTTCCCAGAGCTCCAGGAACCTCCACTCAGTGGACCATCTCTCCTCCGACATTTGGAAAGCAGACTGAGGCCGGGCACAGTGGCTCACGCCTGTCATCCCAGCACTTTGGGAGGCCAAAGTGAGCGGATCACCTAAGGTCAGGAGTTCAAGACCAGCCTGGCCAACATGGTGAAACCCCGTCTCTACTAAACATACAAAAGAGTTAGCTGTGCATGGTGACGCTTATCTGTGATCCCAGCTACTTGGGAGGCTGAGGCAGGAGAATCACTTGAACCCAGAAGGTGGAGGTTACAGTGAGCCAAAATTGTGCCACTACACTCCAGCCCGGGCAAGAGAGCAAAACTCCATCTCAAAAGGAAAAAAAAAAAAAACAAGCAGACTGAGCCCAGCACACCCACAGTGCCTCTACCCTCAGACTGGGAGTTGAGGCTCTATCTCCCTCAGACAGGGAATTCCCCTTCCCAAAGACTAGGAAGTCAGGAGGGTATGACCCCTCCTCCAGCACCCCCATCCATACAGCCCCCCCACCCGATGGCAGGACTCGGCCCCAAAGGGCTAAGCAGGATCCCAGGCCACACCTCAGCCCCTGCTCTCCCTTCTTCCTGGCGAGCTTCCAGGCCTGGCCAGTACCAGGCAGGCTACCCCCCCCCACCACCGGGCCCTGTCCATGAATCCTACCTCTGTTGGGCACCACAGACCCCCCTTTCTCCTCCCCAAACAAACAGGGTGTTGAGCAAGGCATCAGGATGGCCTCACACAAGGCCAGATCTATTCTCTGGATTGGCGCGGCTGCCAGCAGGGTGGGCAGCCCCTCCAGGTCCAGCTTCTGCCACTGGGGGCCCAGCACTCTAAGCTCATCCTGGCAGGGCTGGGAGTAGCAGCCCCGCTCCCCAGGTGACCCAGGAGTGGGTCTGGGCCAGGAGCCCCTAACTGCGCTCCCCACTTCCTCCTCTCTCCCTTCCCGTGCCACAGCATGGGCAGGGGACCTCCGGGTGCAGGTCCAAATCCCTGCTCTGCACCCTGGATGAAAATCTCTCCAGGCCTCCGTCCGGTCATTTGTAACCGGTTGTGACAAACGTGCAGAGGTTACTGCGGCCGCAGAAGAGGCAGGGTCCAGGCAGAAGAGCCCAGCACGGGAGAGGTGCTCAATCCCAACCTGGTTTTCTCTCACCTTTATTCCCTCTTCTGGCCTAGAGGGATAAGGGGTGGGGCTGGCAGAAGTGGGGGTGAGAGGGCACAGGCTGGCAGGGCAGAAAACCACCTGTCCCAGGCACGTAAAATGTTGCCTATCCAGAAGCCAAAGTCTCAAACCCCTCTACAGCCGGCAGTGAGGCCTCCTCAGACTAGGCTGGTGAAGGCTCCCAAGACCCCACAGCCAGCCTGGGCAACACAATGAGACCCCATCTCTAAAAAAATAAAAAAATTAAAAAAAAAAACTATTAGCTGGGCGTGGTGGCATGCGCCTGTAGTCCCAGCTACTCAGGAGGCCGAGATGAGCGGATCACTTGAGCCCAGGAGGTCAAGGAGTCAGTGAGCCATGACTGCGCCACTGCACTCCAGTCCAAGTGACTGAGCAAGAGCCTGTCTCAAAAAAAAAAAAAAAAAAAAAAAAAGATCCCATAGCCCATTAATGGCAACATTGGGGAGGAGGCCTCACAGCCAAGCCACAAATCAAAGCTCAAAGCCCACGGCCTCCTAGAAGCCAGCCTAGATAGCATCCCAATTTTACAGACGGTGAACTGAAGTGCACAGTACTTAAGTAATTTGCCTGATGACACACAGCTAGTGAGCGTCTCCATTGATTTCTTCTGACGATTCAGGCTGCCACCAAAAGCTGTTCATTACGGCACGAGCATCCCCTAAGAACCTTCTGTGATGTTGACTCTGCATCCGGAGTCAGGTCCCAGTTCTTCAGCCAGAAACGCAAGGCCTCCCAACAAGTTGGTATACAGCAGCAGAAGACAGGACTGGACCTCAGGTCAAATGCCAAGCCTGCCACCCACATCCTGCTGTGTACCATGGCAACTTACCAGGCCCCCCAGGCCTCACCGTCCTCTGGTATAAAATGGGAATAACAAGACTGACCTCCCAGGGTGGCTGGTGGGGTTACCTATCCCACCAGCCATATGTGTGTGAGCACGTGTGTGTGTGAGCATTCACACATATTTACTGAACATCTACTGTGTGCCAGGGCCCATTCAAGGCACTTGGGATAAAGCAGAGAACGAGACCAAAAAAGCTGCCTTCAGGAAGCTGATACTCTACAGGGGTGGGAGGGCAGAGAGTAAGCAAGCAAATAAAACAGCATCAAACTGTGTTCAGAGCTCTAAGAAAACAGAGGCAGGAGGCCAAGAGCAAAGGACCGGGTGGTCAGGGAGGACTTCCCTGAGGAGGTGACAATTAACCAGAACAGGAGACAGCCATGCACTGAGCCAGGGCAGCAGCTGTGAGCATAGAAGGAACAGCAAGGTCAAAAGCCAGTGAGTCCAACGAGATCTGGAACCTGTGGGGAAACGCCTGGCACATAGCAGATGCTCAATAAACCGCAGCTGTCGGCATTATGGCCGTACACCTCTCAAACCCCTTGCTCCTTGGGTTCCTCTTCTGGAAACCAGGTTGCTACACAGCTTGAAGTTCATCCTAGGTATCTTCCACATCCCTTCATTCACTTAGAGAAACGCTGCTTCCACTGGTAGTCCTCCCATTTTGCAGGTGAGAAAACTGAGGTTTCCAAGATCCCACAGCACATAAATGACAGCATCGGGACATGAACCTAAGTCTAGTGCTCTCAAACCCCATGTTCCTGGCAGCCTTGGGCAGTCTCACTTACAAAGTGCGCTCGCTACATTCTCTGTCAGAAAGTCTCCAGCATGAGCCGAGGTCTCAGCCTGCCCTTTGAGGCCACCCAGGACAGCCCTCTCTCCTCCTTCCCAGGCCACCTGACGTGTTAGCAGCTGCCACCCGGAGCACCTCCCAGTGCCAAGCTCTGCGCCTTACTTTGTCCCCTGGCCTTGCACCAGCAAGGTGAAGTAGGGATTCTTATCATCCCCATTGTACAGATAAAGAAACTGAGGCCTGGAAAGGTGGAGAAACATGCCCAGGGACACCTGCCAGGAAAGCGGCAGTGTTGGGATTTGAACTCAGGCCCTCATCACTTAAAAGACAGTCATCCATCACTTCCCAGGCCTCTCAAATGGTCCTCTTTGGGCATCCCCCTCAGTCCCCTGCCTGGCTGTCCCCCTGGTGATGCCAAAATGGTAGACAGGGCAGGCTTCCTTCCTCTGACTCGGTTATTCTCCGGGCACCACCAGCCACGTGCCTGGAACACCGCACCCTAGGCCAGGGCTGGCTGAGCAGCTTAGGGCACCCGAGTCCCACAAAAGAGACCCGTGGGCAGGGACTCAGGCAACAGCTGTGGGGACAGGGCTCGCCTGATTAAAGTGCACACACAGGCCCTGGGGCAGGCGGGACAGGAGCACCAGAGAGGAAGCCTCCCACACCCGGCTCCATCCTGGCTCAGCCACCGGGGCACTGCGTGCCCATCAGGAGGTATTCTGCCTTTCTGGCCCCATGCCTGTTACCATGAACTCAGGACCATACTCCCACCGCTCAGGGTCACGGGGAAGGGTACGATGTCACATCTCTAGTGAGATCTGGCTGCCCCACACGTGTCAGAAAATCATTTGGAAACGATTTTTTTTTTTTTTTTTTTTGAGACGAAGTCTCAGTCTGTCACCAGGCTGGAGGGTAGTGGTGCAGTCTTGGCTCACTGCAACCTCCACCTCCCGGGTTCAAGTGATTCTTCTACCTCCACCTTCCGAGTAGCTGGAACTACAGGCGCACACCACCATGCCTGGCTAATTTTTGTATTTTTAGTAGAGATGGGGTTTGACCATGTTGGCCAGGATGGTCTCGATCTCCTGACTTCGTGATCCACCCGCCTCGGCCTCCTAAAGTGCTGGGATTACAGGCGTGAGCCACCACGCCCAGCCTTTAAAATGATCTGTAAAGGTAATGATGATGGTGGTGGTGGTGGTTCCCAGTTACTGACAGTCTATGACCTACCAGGAGCCACACGAGGGACATCACATCCATGAGCCCAAATAACAGCCACCCTGGGAGGCGTGTGCCTCATCTCCATTTTGCAGAGGGGGAAACTGAGGCAAGAGGTTTTTTTTCCACTGTAAAACCCAGAGCCAGGTTGCAAACCAAGAACTTGGTGCTCTCCTATGCGGCTTCCTGTTGTTAGAATCGGAATGAAATGCTACTTCAGGAGAACCCCCGGGGACTGTGAGGAGAGAAGGGACTGACCGGTGTCAGAGAGACAGGCTCCCCCAGGGAAGGAGTTAGGCCTGCTGAGTCAGGCACTTGTGGAGGGAGATGCCTCCGGAGCATGCCTGCTGTGTGACCTTGGGCAAGTCACTCCTCCCGTCTGATACTTCAAAGGCAGGTACCAATGCTGGGCTCCCCAGGGAACGGCACTGGGTCAGGAGGTCCTCGGCGAACATGAAGGATGGGGACAGAGTCACTATGGGGACAGTCACTTGGGGGCAAGAAAGGAGCATGTGCCCAGACGAGAGACTCATGTGATCACAAGGCCCTGGGGAGTGGGAGGGCTCGAGGAGGCAGACGTGGGAAGATCGCGGCCATAGAAGTGGGAGGGGGGACTGGGTGGAGATGCCGGGAGGGTGCAGGCGCTGGTGCAGCAGGGTCTCCAGTCTGTCCACAGGGACAGGCAGGATAAGCACAGGCCTGCCCTCTGGGCCTCACTGCCCACCCCTCCACCACCAAGAAGCCCCACTTCAGCCCCGTGACAGCAACAGCAAGCCCCTGCAGCAGCCCTTCCCCCACCACACCTCCTCGTCCTCCAGGGAGCGCCCGCCACCCTGCATAAGCCCTTCCAGGGCGCCCATCACTATCCCTTTCCTGGGGACTTCCAACACCTCAACAGCCACAGCCCTTCCACGTGGGGACCACCGCATCTTGGAGACAGCATCTTCCTATCCTTAGCAACCACCAACACCGTGCGCAGCCAGCCAGCCTCCTTCCTCTGTCTCCTCCTCTCTCCACGGAGACCACGATGCCACAGCAACCACCGTCACTCAGCGCCGCCTGGACAACAGCTCCCTCCACGTGGCCGCCACCAACACAGCCTCGGTGACAGCCCCAGCCTCTCCTTTCCCCTCCAGGGCAGCCACCAGCCCAGCCAGGATGGAGCTGCTCCTTCTGCCTGCCTGTCTGCCTGCTTGCGGCCTCCCAGTGCCAGACGGCTCTCCCGGTGCCTCCAAAATTCAATGCACAGGATCAGGCCCCACTTCAATTCCACTGGTGTTTTCCTCTCCTCCCGGCTCACTCCCAGCCCCTCTCTCTGCAATGGGAAGACCCCCACCTGAGACCCCCACCACGCTCTCCCAGGCCTTCCCCTGGAAGCTGGCTCCCCACCCCCGGCAGGTGCACAGATGCCCCCTGCCCTGCTGGGGTGCAGACTAGGCCTGGCTCAGCCTGTCCGCCGGGTGATGGGCAGGAGCTGGGGTCCCTGAGCCAGCAGGGGCTTCCAGCCCACCCTCCCCAGTGAACCTGACTTAGCCCCCAGCAGGCCTGCCACTCTGCAGGCTGCCTCACAGGCCCCGTGGAAGGACAGCTAGGTGGGAGGGGTGCCCACGGCTGGGGGCGGGGGCTGGGCCCGCAGGAAGGAACACACAGGCTGGGACACATCACAGGTTTGCAAGGCCGGGTCATGTGAGCTGCGCCCACAGACAGCCACACACACACACACACACACGCAGGCCAAAGGACCCTGTCCTTACCAGATGTCTGCAGCAGAGGAGGCCCCTCCGGCACTGTCCCCAACCTGGGTCTCAGAAAGGTCCCCAGGCAGCAGCGGCAGCGGTAGCAATGAGATCTCAGGTCCTGGCCCAGCTCGGGTGGCAGCAGCTCCGCACCAAGTCCTCTCCTGCACGGAGGCGAGGGGGAGAGAGGGGAGGGAGGGAGAGAAGTGGAGGAGAGGGAGGGGGGACAGCAGGAGGGAGGGAGGAGGGAAAATGCTGAAGTCTTGAAGGGTACACTCACTTCTTTCTTGGGTTTCCCATGGCAACCGAATATACCACAAACGAGTATCAGGGTGAGACAGAGGGAGGAGGCAAAGGGAGAGGAGGAATGGAGGGAGATGGAGAAGAGATGGAAAGAGAAAGAGACAGAGAGATGGGGGAGACGATCGGGAAGAGATGGAGAGATGCAGAGGGAGATGGAGGCAGAGACGTGAAGGCACAGAGAGGGAGGGGTGGGGCAGGGGAGGAGGAGAGACGGAGGGGGAGGCAGGAGGATGATGAGGCAGGAGAGGGAGGCTGCGGCTTCCCATCGTAACCCATGGGCTCAGGGGCCAGGGGAGAGGCCAGGGTTCACAGGCCTTCTTTCAAGCCCTTGGCAGGAGGAGCAGGCACAGATGGGTGAGTTTTCTGGGAACAAAGGGGCCCCCACTCCCACCCCTCCACCTTGTCCCACATGCCCCACTGGGCTCCACAGCCTGGAGGTGCCTCCGGAGTCACATCCCAGCCTCATACCCCACTCACAGCCACGGTCACACATGTCACACCCACGTGTGTGTGCGCACACACCCCACACTCCTGTGACACCCAGTCCCCACACAGCCCTCGTCTCCTCCATGCCCAACCACCCCCTCTCCTGTCGGTCACTCGGATCACCAATGCCACCCACTGCCCTCATCGGCCGGGCCCAGGGAACAAAGACACCCTGGCCCTCGGCATATCCTCTCCTCTTCAGAACTCTGCCAGGACTGGCACACGCCTTCCCCTATGTGCCTAGCCTGAGCCCGGCCAGGTGCGATGCCTCTCCATCTTCCCGCCATATGGGCTCACACACAGCCTGAGAGCACAGTACCTGGCTGACCTCCACCTGCTCAGACTGGCGCTGCCAGACAGACGGGCCTCGGCGGAACCTCGCCTCCATCTGCGCGCACACATGCACACACACACACTCAGCCCTTCCCAAAGAGGCCCCTCTCCCTGTCCGGCCCGGCACTCCACCAGCCCAGATGGTACTCTTGGCCCTCCTCCGCAGGCAGGGGCTCACACCTCAGCCCCCTCGGCATTGCCATTCACAAACATATGTAGACCCACCAAGCGCTGGCAGCCAGCGGCGCCCTACAGAAAACAAACACACACTTGGGCCTCCCCTCCCCCACCTCCCTCGCTGCCTCAACTCCCTCACCCCCACCCAAAGGCAGAGAACTAGAAGGGCAGACTGCCTCCAGGAAGGGTTCCCAGGCCTAGCTGGGGGCACACAATTGACCCTGCACCCCTCGGCCAGCAGGGATGGGAAAGCATCCCAGAGGCGCACACTACACCCAAACACACACAGCCCAGTCGTCCCAGAGCACACCCAGACAGAAGCCACACAGGACATCCCACTGCTGCAGAGAAACGCGCATCACAGACCCAAAGACCTCCTGCGCCCAGAGACCAAGGTGCACTGCACACAGCTGAACCAGCACACAGGGGCGCCCCACACAGACACATTCCGCAACACTCAGGCCCACGCTGGTGCCAAAATGCACGGAGCCACTGCACAGACGCACGAACCAGGGGCACCCTGGACTGCCCCTCCCCAGGCTCCCAAACACCCCCAGAAAAACGTGCCCGGGGTACGGGGCCCCCAACATAGACACACGCCAAAACATACATGCTCCAAGCATGCCCACACGCAGGGAACCACTCCCGGACACACGTGCCAATGCACATGTCCCCACACCCCCCCAGCACAGCCACACCTGCACGCCACAGCGCTCCTGGGACAGTTCACGCGGCGCATCCCCATGCCGTCCACACCCACCTGGCACACACATCCCCTCACCAGCAACTCGCCAGGTCCGGGCTCCGGTCGCCCCCTATGCCCCTGCCGGCAGCTTTCGGATCCCTCGCACCGCGCAGAGCCCAGAGGCTGCGAAACTGGCTGCAGGCGTCAGCGGCTGCGGCTGCAAATTCTAAACACAGGCAAGTAAGGCGGAGAGCTGGGCCAGCCGGGCGCAAGTTCTGGAGGCTGGCGGGGCAGGCCACCGTGCAGGGGTGGAGAGCGCGGCGGGGTCGGCACGGGGAGGGGGGGGGCGGTGCGGCCCCGGCGGAGCTCTGAGCGCGCGCTCTTGCCCCCACCGCTCCCGGTCCGCGCCAGTCCCCGCCCGCCCCTTCCTCTGGCCCCGCCGCCACCGCGCACCCACCCGGTGCGCCCCCGGAACGGACACGCCCGCCGCCCGCCAGACCCAGGTCTGCCTCCACCAAGTGGATGCACTGTATCGAGCCACCGCTACGCGGCTCTGCGTCGCCTCCTCCAGGACGCCTCCTCTGCTCTTCGCCCTCCTCGCCGCTTCTCTGCCCTCACCTCCACCTCGGCCTCTGGCCTCTGCTCACAGGCACAGCCGCAAGCTCGGCTCCACCCGCGCCCTCGCTCCATACGAAGGGAGAGGGAGGGCGTTGAACCTGCGCGAGGTGCTCGAGCAGGCCCCCTCCAGCCCCACTTCATCCCAACCACACTCTAGGCTGCAAATGTGCCTAGCGTTAGCAGCTGTGCGGCCTCGAACCCGTGGCCGCACACTCTGCCTCCGATTCCACCTCTGTGCAACAGGAATGATGTAGAGGGGCGTTATAAGGATTTCATGATGGACTCCTTACACAGGCTTGGAGCAGCAGGCAACGAACACGGAAGATGATTAGTCAGTATTATTAGTATCGGCCCCTCTTGCTGCTGTGGCACCGAAGCTTAGGCACTTCTCCGAGCCCAAGCTTCTCCTCTGGAAAATGAGGATGGCTTTGCTGGCTCGGGAGGATTCTGGGAGGAGTCTCAGAGACCCCGGGGAACATGCAGCTGCCATCCAACCAGCAAATGTGGGTGAATTAATCTTCAAGAAAGCATTAAAATTGCAAGTTCCTGGGCCCCTCGTCGACTCTCCCAATCAAAATCTCAGTGGACTGGGCCCAAGCATCTGCATTTTAACCAACGCCCAGAGATTCTAATGGCCCCTGACAAAAAGGATATTGCTCAATTTCTTGGCACAGCATGGATAGTCTGGTGTGGTTGATCCTCAAACTACATGTCCAGACTCCTCAAAATCCACTCTGGGCTTCCCCACCTCCGGGCCCCTGCTCACACGGACACCCCATCTGGCACGCCCCCACCCAGGAGCAGCCAGGACCTCTTTCACAATCCTCCGGCCAAAATCAAACAAGATCAGAGAGAGTGCCTTGCCCAGTATCTGGCAGGTAGCAGGTGCACAATCAAGGGAGTTCTGCAGAGCCCAGAGCAGAATCGGGCGCAGCCTCTCCAGCCCTTCCCGGGAGGCTCGCTCCACACCTGGCTTCCAGCCTGCAGCAGCAACCCCTTGTCGGTCAGGACACAGAGGAACAAGAATCACCTGTCAGGCAAGCCCCACTGTGTGCAGACCCCATGCTGGCCACTTGCCAGAGATGCCTGTGCCCAACCTCTTCTCCAGGGCCCTGAGCTCCGCCAGGCAGGAGCTCCTCTCTGGGGGTTCCTGCCTGAGCTCCAGGACACGGCATTTCTCCCTGGGTGAAACATGCTAATAAGAGTGTGTGTGCCCCTGCCATCTGAAAGCAAAATGCAGTGATCTGTCCTCGGTAGCATGTAGACGAAAGGAATTTGTTTTAATAAGTATTTTTTGAGGGCCTACCAGTCTCTGCCTGCACAGAGCTGACACGCAGTGGGAAGTAGGCAGGAAGTAGGCAGATGCAGGAAATCCCCTGGGGAACAAGAAGGGCCAAGAAGGGAGGGAGGCAGGTAGGCTGACCCCACAGCCTGTCTCTCCAAGATTCAGGAATAATTGCAGGGGGAGAGGGATGACAGACAGGTCAACGGAGGAAACTGAGTCAGGCCCGGGTCTTGGGACTAGGCCCACAGCAGGCTGGTCAGGCAGCCCTTGGGATTCATTCCCTACTTCCTCCTGAGAGAGGTGGTGACCCGTATATACACACAGTTACACATATACAGACAAGCAAAGACACAGCCTACCCCCTCCTGGCCCCACTGCACGTTACAGCAGCCAGCGGAGGGTGCAGGCTGGCAGCTCCCAGGCCCTTCTCAGGCTTCCTTAGCCCCCCCCCCCCGCAGTTCCCATGCACTTTAGGGGGTGACAAGGGTAGGAAGGGAACAGACACATTCGTGCACAGTGCAGACCCCCTCCAGGAGGCCAGGAATGAATGGCGGGGGCAGATGGGAAGGGGCAGGAAAAGAGTGGCATCCCGTGTGCCAGACAGGATGTCACAGAGGCGGCCGTCTCTTATCTAACCTTTAGTATGACCTTTGGGACAACCCAGAAGGGTTAGGAATTCGTTTTTTGTTTGGGGGTTTCTGTTTTGTGTTTTGGTTTGGTTTGGTTTGCTTTTTTGGCCGGGCTTGGTGGCTCACGCCTGTAATCCCAGCACTTTGGGAGGCTGAGGCAGGTGGATCACAAGGTCAGAAGTTCAAGACCAGCCTGGCCAATATGGTGAAACCCTATCTCTACTGAAGATACAAAAATTAGCTGGGCATGGTGGTGCCTGCCTGTAATCCCAGCTACTGGGGTGGATTTTTTTTTTTTTTTTTTTTTTTTTTTGAGATGGAGTCTCGCTCTGTCACCCAGTGGCACAATCCTGGCTCACTGCAACCTTGGCCTCCTGGGTTCATGTGATTCTCCTGCCTCAACCTCCCAAGCTCTCCTGACCTCAGGTGATCCACCTGCCTCGGCCTCCCAAAGTGCTGGCATTACAGGCATGAGCCACCGTGCCTGGCCAAGAATTCAGCACTTTTGTCTCCACTTTGCACTGAGGACACAGGGCCTGGGGAGGGGAAGTGACTTGCCCAGGACACATACCCAAGAGGAAAAGAGGCAGGGTTTGGAGCCCTGGAGAGAAGCTGGACCCCTGCCCTTTCCACAAGCAAGATGGCTAGGAAGCGGGGAGTCCAGGGGACCACAGCTGAGGCCACGACAGACTCGGGACCTGAGGAAAATACTGCTCCCGGGGCAGCCTCCCGACTGTCACCGGGTGGGGGAGGGGGGCAGAGTCTCCAAGCGCTGCTGTGTGAGGCACTGTGGAGGGCCAGGGAGCAAGGGGCTGCCTTTGGGGACATCCCATCCCTGTTGGGAAGGGGCGCAGGAGGAACGGGATGAGGGGATTGGGACGCAGTACCGCTTTGAGGCCCCCCCTTTCCTGTCTGTCCTTGCAGCCACAGCAAAGGGCTTCCCCGGCCCCCAGCTTCTCTAGGGCAGGGTCACTGCACCCATTTACAGATGAGCAAAGCAAGGCCCAGAGCCGTCCTTCAGTGAGAGGGGTACGCCAAGAGGTCCCTACCTCCAGGCTCACCTAGCAGTAGAGTATAGCAGCCAGTGGTGCTGATGCAAGAGTCTCCCTTGGGGGGTTCCAGTCCTGGTTCCATTGCTGTGTGGCCCTGGACTGGTCTGTAACCTCTCTGTTTGTCTTCAGAATGAGAAATAATTATAGCTCCTACTGCAGCTGGCTTTTATAAACGAACGCCGCTTATAAAGAGCTTCAAACTGGGCCTGGCTCTCCGTAGGGGCTCAATAATATTAGCTGATATCATTATTATCACTATAATTATTACTATTTCCATCATCCGCATCCTGCAGCCAGCACCCGTCCTCTGACACTGCAGGCATAAGCTCGCCTGTCCAGGTGACTCTTCAGTCCTCAGGGCTTCTCTGGGGCTTTTCTGGGGACTGTCTGCAGAGCCAGGGGAAGGAGAGAGGGCTCGATTATTCCAGCCCCCAGACACTATGTCCGGTAATCATGTCAATGCCTCTGCCCCAGGTGGTAATTGAGCCAGGAGAAGGTTAATTTAATTGGAGACTGGGCTGGGACGCCAGGAGGCAGAGGCTTGGGTTAACATTAACTGGGCTCCTGAAAAGGTCTGATCGCTAAGAAGGTCAGGCTTTGAAGCAATCCTGCTTCTCGGCCATCCACTCCAAGCAGCACAAACGTCACAGCACCGGGGCGGGGGCGGGCAGGGGCACCAAGAGAGAGGAGCTGGGCCCCCAGGCACTATGGCAGGAGCAGATGAGGGGAGCGGCGATGCGTGCCTCCCAGCCCTGCACGCAGCTGTCACACTTTCACACCGCAAGGCAAGCTGCCACCGCCCTCTTACAGAGACGGGAGAGCTGACCCCTGTCACACACAGCCAGGATGCAGATGCGGCAGGGGTGTCACTGGAACCCGGTTCTGCTGCCCAAAACAGGCATCCTACAAGACCTCAGGGGCCACTGGGGAACTGGCGTGGAGCCCCCAGTGACCGCCCTGGACGTGCCCACTGGGGAAGGCTTGCAGCTGCTGTGCCCGTTTCTGTCACCCTGACTCTGTGGAGCTTGTGGGTGGAAGAGCAAGAGAGTACTGACCTGGGAGTCCAGAGCAGCCTCTCCTGGAGCCAGAGACCCCTTGGCCTGGGGTTCATCTCATCACCTGGCACCCCGCACCCAATTCCTCATGGCACCATATATTTTCATGAAATGACAGTGCCCTCGAGAAGGGACTGGGTCGTCAAACGTGCCTCCCTGCAGCCCCCAAGGGCAGACGGGGAAGTCCCATTAAATCAACAGACAGCTTATTCCACACCTCAGTGTCAAACCTCCACGTAACAGCTGCCAGCCCACCCGCCTCCAAAGACTGCCATGGAAATCCAAGGGAAGAAAAGGAAGTTCCTTACAAAGTTAGACTCAAACCACCACAGGAACGCAGCTACTCTGGGCTGGGGGGACAGGAAGTGAGGGGACAGAGCTCACATGGCCTGAGCCCCCATCATGTGCCAGGCACCGGCACCCCCGCAACTGACAAGGCCCACGGTCTCCTTAACCCCTGCACCTCTCTAACCCCCACCCCGTGTTACAGCGGAGAGACTGAGGCTCAGAGAGGCTACGGGAATGCTTAAATCACGAAACGCAGAAAGTAGCAAAATGGGATTCGAACCAATGGTCTTAGGCTCCTTGCCTGTGGCCATTTTCTATTGTCACATGCACTGACACACTCACATACACACTCATGAATGCACATGCACCCAGGGGTGGTGGACCTGGCCGGGCTGTGGAGGAAAACAGGGACTGGGGAGGTCAGATGGGGGGCTGCAGCGTGTCAGGGCAGGGGAGGTGCACTATTCAGGGGGCAGGACTTAAGGAAAGGGGTCCCACGCCCACTCAGGACGCTGGGAAATGGGGCCTCTTGGGAGGGCCCATCCACCCTAAGGCTTCCTCCCTTTCCCCTTCCCACCCCTCATACACAGGGGACATAACCACACCTGGCCACACACACACCCCTGACATCACACTCACAATCTCCGGCGGGGGGAAGCGACTCCCAGCAATACTGTCCCACTGACGTCACCTGCAGCCTGCAGCTTATGTCACACCTGAGGTTCTCACTGACGTCACATACATACTTTTTCCTGATGTCCCCACGATTACTCCTCTTTCCTTCTGCCTAGGGGTTGATGGCCCAGAGGTGCCCACCTCCCCACACACACAGCTGCAGGGCCCCAGGCTCACCAGGACAGCACCGGCATCTGCGCCCCTCTCACGGGACACACATTTGCACACATGTGAACAACCACATGCTTTCCTGGTGGCCCAGATGTGACACGTCCCACAGGTGGCCATGGGCCACGGGAACAGGGGTGTCAGCCAGGCACATACACACCCACACACGCACACACTCCAGTCCCGGCTCATGATGCAGCTCGCATATTAAAACACCCCTCAGTACCGCCGCCGCCGGCAGTCTGCGCCCCACAGCTTCCACCACATTCCTCCAGGTGCTGCCAGAACCCTCCTCCCCCCAGCTTCTCGCCTCCAACAGCCTGGCCTGCTGACAGCGACAGCCGCAGCCCAGACACACACACACACTCTCTAGCCCAACACCTGTGTCTCAGCAAGGGACCAAGGCAGTGGCCTCCAGCCGCAGCTGCTGGGTGGGAGGAGTCCATGGGGAAGGGCCAGTGCAGAGCCCTGAGCTGCAGAAAGCGCCGAGTACCACGTCCCTCCCCAGCTGAGTGCACGGCCAGCACCACTGTCCCCTTCTCATCTCCCTCCTTGGGCACGCCTGACACATCACGGCTTGGTGGCCTCTGTCTTGAACACAAGCTGCCCGAGTGTGTGGGTGCGTGAACACACACACACACACACACACACACACACACCCCTCAGCTCTCTTCCCTCCAAACATTCGGAAAAAACCCTGCAGGGTCACTGACAGTGTGTGTGTGTGTGTGTGTGTGTGTGCGCGTTTGCGCACTTGTGTGTATACAGAGAGCAGGGTCCACACACACACACACGCACACACACACAGTGTGCACAATTCTCCCCGCATGCACACAGCACCCCACCGGCCAACACACCCACCCCTTCCCCCTCCCCTGACAGCTGCTGGAGCCCACACAGGCACACACACACACTGGCACGCAGGCACGCGCACGCGCGTGCACACACACACACACACACACACACACACAGAGCAGTGGCCCTGGCCCTGCCAGCTGCAGTCTCTGAGATTTATGCTGCCTCCCCGGGCTGCCTCCCTCCCTGTCCCTGCCAGCACCTCTACAAGGTTCCCACCCCCCAATTCTGGTCCTACCAACCCCACCGCCGACAAGCCCCACCCTGGTCCCCCTCTCCTGAGCAGACATCCACCCCGTCAACCCCTCTTACCAGCTGGAGGATGAATGGCTTGACCCAGCAGCACCCCACGAAAGAGGGGGGTCAGGGACCCCGACTCGAAAAGACGGGGGCAGAGAGGTGCAGTGTGGCACTGGCTGGCACAGCGTCCACCATCGAGCCTCTGCACCACCCCCAGAAATGCTCACCTCACCGACCGTCCTCCGTGTCCTCCCACCGCCTCCGCCCACCGCCGCCACCACCACCCTCGCGCAGGGTGGTCCCCTGGGGGTCTCACGGGAATCCCCAGACCCAGGAGACACTGGGGGTGGCTCTCCCCGTCTCATGCCCCCCTTCCGTGTCCCCCTCCAAGCCCCACCCCCACTGGCGGAGGGGGTGCCCTCCGGCTCCAGCCCCGACTCCCACCGTCTCGCCGGCCGCGGCGCCCGGATCCGGAGGAATTCACTTACCCCAACCCCAGCCCCAGCCGGGATCCGGGCCAAGCGCCGCCTCCGGGCAGCGGCGGCCGCGGGGCCTGCGCGTGAGTGTGAGTGTGTGTGAGCGCGGGTGTGGGTGCGGGGTGCGCGGCGCCCGGCCGTGGCCCCGTGCGTGGCGCGTGGCCGTGGGGTGGCCCGCGTGTGTCTGTGTGTGTGTCTGGGAGCGCGCGTTTGCGCGCAGACGCCGCCGCCCCCTCCTCCCCGCCGCCGCGCCTCTGCCTCGGCTGGGAGGGCGCCCGGGAGGGGCCAAGCGGCGCGCGTCCGGGCCGCGGCGCGTCGTGTCCCTCGGTCCGTCCGCCCGCCCGCCGGCCCGCGCCCGGCGCCCTCCGCAGGGCTTTCCGCAGCGAGCCCGCTCCCGCCCCCGAGCCGGCCGCACGCTCCACGGACACACGCGCGCTCGCAGACACACGCCCGCAGGGCGGGGGCCGCGCCTGGCGCCGCCGCTGCGGCTGCAGAGCCCGGGGAGGCAGCGGCGGCCCCGCGGAGCCCAGAACCCCGGCCGGGGGCGCCCCCGCTCCCCCGCTCCCCGCCCCCCTGCGCGGCTCACCGTGCGGGATCCGGGTCCGGGTCCGGGTCCGGCCCCCGACAGCGCATTCAACAGCTAGGGGCAAACTTGCGGCGGGGCCGCCGGAGGGGCGCCTGGACTCGCCCTCCCCCTGGACTCCGCCTCCGCGGATGGGCCCCCTCGCCACCTGGTACCTCCGTGCCCCGCCGCCTGCGCCCTGCTGGTTGGTACCGCGCTCAACCGCTGGCGGCTGGGGAAGTGCGGCTGCTGTGTTCCCATTTTACAGGCCAGACGACTGAGGCTTGGAAGGAGGGGTGACTCCCCCAAGGTTACACAGCGAGCCTGCAGACAGGATTAGACTTTACGTTCCCCTAGCTGGTGCCAGGGCGCTCACTGCCTTTCCCCACCCCTCCAGAAGTAGGTCCAGGGGATACTGGGCTCATCTGCAGCCTAGAGAAGCTTCATTAGCCTTTCCAAAGGCCCAGTTCCCTGCCCCTTACACCAAAGCCCCCTGGCCACCTGCTGTCACCTGCAAAGGGATAGAATCTGGGAGGAAGAGGAGGAGGAGGAGGAGGTGGGAAATGCAAGAAGCAGTCGGCATCCGGGGCCTATACCTTGGTTCTTGGGCACGCGAGTACCTCCTTCCGGGGCCCCGTGAGTGGCATGCCCGAAGCCTGCCGCCAGCAGGCCCTGTACTTCTCCAGCGCGTTTATAGGACCGGCGCCTGCGCTCAGGTGCTGCACCGCAGACGTGAAGTCCAGGCTGCAGGAACGCCTTGTGGAGCACACGCCTGTCTGGGATGAGGAGACTCCCCAGAAGAAGCCGCTGCCTGAGCTGAATCTTGATGGATGAGTAGGAGTTGGCCAGCTAAAGAAGGAGGAGGTGTCCCAGACTGCGGGAATAGCATGTGCAAAGGCACAGAGGCATGAAACAGCTTTATGTGTGTGCACAGGGCACTCCGTGGAGTTGGGTGTTACTGGAGCAGAAAGACCGTCTGTCCCGAAAGTCCTCCCTCCTGTCAACTGAGAACAGGGGAGCGGCCCAGGATGGGGCTGGGAGGGCAGACGAGCACTGGGACACAGGCCACTGGTTGTCCCGGGGTATGGAGAAGGACTATTGGGCGTTCCCCACCTCTGCTCTCCACACCTGCACCCCCCAGGCTGCCTGGCACACTCCTACCCATCCTTCAAGGTCCCTCGCTGCAAACCCAAACAAGCCATATGCTGTCTCTGCCATTTAAGCTGAGCCCTCCTGAAGGGCAGCGGTGGCATCCAACACATGGTGTGTGCCCCCCACAAACCTGGGCAAGAAGCAAGGTCCCAGCCCCAAGACCCTGCGGGAAGAGCCCCTCAGGCGGAACACAACGGCTTGTGCGCCCTCTGGCGGTTCCCTCGGGAAACTATAGCGTGCTCCCCAGTCCCACAGCCCAGCTGCGGCTCTCAGGCCCAGACGCTCTGAGACGGGCACTGGCAGATGCCCTCTGATCCGCTCCTGCCCAAGGAACTGAGCAGTGGTGACCCCAAGGAATACCAGGCAGCAAGTGGCAAAACAGCCTCTGGCGGCTCCGTTTGCAAGACGTTCCCAGTCATCTACCAGAATGCAAGTCACAACCCTCTCTGAGCCTATTAGCAAAAGCAGCCCCTCAGCACAATGCCGGACGCTCCCTTCTCCCTGGGGGACCCCCGGGTCTGGCTGGCTTCGCTGGAGGTGGTTTGAAGCTCTAAAACGTTCTGAGAGTCTCCCTTTGGAGACTTGCCCCTTACTGGACAGATGTAAAATGACAAGAGTTTCAGCTCTTAGCTCACTTTCTGCCACCAAAGATGGAGTTGACCTGGCCTGAGGGTCATAGTGGACCACACCATCTAGACAGTCGATTGGGCTTTCTCCAGACCATAGCGGAAATGATCCACGTCTGCACTGTGGAAGGCAGTAGCCGCTAACTGCATGTGGCCATTGAGTGATTGGAATTGTGGCCAGTGTGGCTGAGGAACTCAATTTCTAATTTTTATTTGTATTACTTTAAATTTAAATAGCCATAATGTGGCTTGTGGCTGCCATGTGAGATAGTGCAGCTCCAGATATATAGCAAGCTCCTTGTTAAAATCAATCCCAGACAGACACACATACACACACACACACACACACACACACACGGACACACACACACATACACACAGGGAACGCTGAGGACCTGGGGATGCGGGGAGCAGGGAGCTCAGGAGAATGCCTGGAGTCTCTAGCTGGATAGGTACAACCGAGACAAACGTGAGAGTCCATTCCCAGCGTCACTGTCCCAGGCCAGCCTTGCTGTCACCTGGGTACCTGCAACAAACTCCCTCATCACCCATCTGTTTAAACCCTCCAGTAGCACCCCGGAGCCCATGCAGGGAGGCAAATAGGTTCTCTTTCTCATGACAAGTGATTGGCAGCAGCTGCCCAGAGCTTCTCACCCTTTGCAGAAAATGGCATGATCGATTGGTGATGTCTGGCTCAGGTATAAATACAGCGATGAAGGGAAGCCCTCTCTGCTACAGGATAAAATCCTAAGTCGTTTATTTATTTACTAACTTTTAGACAGTGCCTCTCTCTGTCCCCCTGGAGTGCAGTGGCGCAATCTCCACTCACTGCAACCTCGTCCTCCTGGGTTCAAGCGATTCTCCTGCCTCAGCCTCCCAAGTAGCTGGGATTACAGGTGCACCACCAAGCCTGGCTAATTTTGGCATTTTTAGTAGAGATGGGGTTTCACCATGTTGGCCAGGCTGGGCTCAAACTCCTGAGCTCAGGTGATCCTCCCGCCTCGGCCTCCTAAGGTGCTGGGATTATAGACACGAGCCACTGCGCCCAGCCAAAAATCCAAACTCTTTAAAGTGCCCGAATAAGGCCCTTTGCAGTTGGTCCTTATTTACCCCACGTATGCTCTGGGTCCTAGGAATACCAGTGTCTGCCCTTTCCAGACCGTGCCCTGAACCACACCCATCGTCTTCACACCTTTATGCTTTTGATCCTGTCTCTTGACCTGGGAAGCCTTTCCTCCCCTCAGATCCCTTCCCTACCCGTCCACTTTCTGCCTATCCTCAGGTACTGCTTACAGGCCACCTCCTCAGTGAAGCCTCCCCTGACCGCTCCTAAACCAGGCTGGCTGAGCTACTTCTTCCTCCGCTGGCTCCCAGAACACCCTGTGGAGGCCTCCGTGACAGCACACATCACATCATGTCATTATTCATTCTCTGTGTGTCCACCTCCCCCCGCTTATTCTTTGCTTGGTCACCCCTATCAAGTAGCTACCCGGTGTCAGGGGCTCACTCAGGAACAGGCGCTGTGCAGGGCCATTTACACACACTATTATTAATAAGCCACAGATGTGGATATTAGGAGGTTCTCTTCCGGGCACACAGCATCCACCCCGCTTCCTGCCAGCACCCCAAATTCTCCTCTCCTCGCCGCCATGTATAGTCTGGGAGGATGTGAATCCAGGTACCTCTTCCTGCTGTCAGCTGGGCTAATTGCACCGTGGGTAGAGTGATCGTGGGCAGGAAGGATCGCCGGAGCACAGCCAGCCCAGAAACGTCAGTGCCAGATGACATGGGTGGGCTGGGCCCCTGCCCTGCCTACCAGAACCCCGTCTCCTCAGGCATCCCTCAGTGGTACACAGGAGCTGCCGTGACTGACAGCTCACCAGAAATTGCCCTTTATTTTCAAGGTGAGGGACCCCCTCCCCCCCCGGCCCTGGCCACATCACCGGGAGGACATTTTTTCCGGAAAGTCTCTCTTTTAGGGCTTAGAGAACAGAGAAGCAAGAGTGAGAGGAACACAGAAATACTAAAAGCCTCATGCATTGTTTAAGGTGAATAACAAGATTTACCCTTTGTACTTAGGTGAAATCTTTTTCACTTGGTCTCCGTGGCATTTTGAGTTGATGCTAAGAAAATTAGGTTAAGTGATTCTTTCAGAGACACACACACACACACACACACCCCAGAGCTTGTTCGGGGTGTCACATTCCTGCTTTGGATCCAGACCGAAAATCTCGTTTCTGCTGTGCCTCCAGTGCTGGAGCTGAGGACACCAGCTCGCTGAGGACAGGAGCCAGTGGTGGGACAGAGCCCGGAAGGAAGAGAGGGGCCTGGAAGGAAAAGCGTGCTCCCAGAACCATCCTAAGTGGAGTAGGAAGGCGTGGGGCTGAGACACCTTCTCGGGAAGGTGGGTCCTCTTCTCTAGGGGCGTTTTGTTTTTCTGGTCACTGTGACAGGTCAGGACATGCAAGGATGAAGGTAGTTGTCAGATGCTGGGGCGTGGGGGAGAATGAGTAGGAGAGAGAAGAGACTCACAGGTCAGGAAGAAACTGAGGGGAGGGAAGGCCCCCCCGCCCCCGCCCCCAGGAGGCCTGATTGCAAAGGGATTGTGAAGAAC